TTTATACTTTTGGAAATGTATTATCGTCCGACCTTTCGTAACCGCCTCGTTAGATCGAGCATCCGGGACGGGCGTGACACATACTTTCCAAACAAACTATGGCAAATTAGGAAGGAGAATAATTAAATTCTCTCTAAATTAAATCTAGATTGGATTCAAATTTGAAAACTTTCCTTGTTTAGAATTTGTAAATATAGAAAGTTTTTTAAATTCAAATTTGAATTTCAAAATATTCTAACTCGTTCCTTTATTGCTTAAGCCAATTTAGGGAGTCATTATGATGATTGAAATCAGCATAATGACTTCGGACAATGATGGCGCCGGCTGTCAAGGAGGGAGGGATTGGGGAGGAGTTGAATACTCTCCAAACAAACTATGAAAAATTAGGAGGGAGAATAATTAAAGTTTCTCTAAATTAAATCTAAATTGAATTCAAATTTGAAAACTTTCCTTATTTAGAATTTGTAAATATGAAAAGTTTTTGAAATTCAAATTTGAATTTCAAAATATTCTAACTCCTTCCTTTATTACTTGGGACAATGATGGGGCCGGCAGTCAAGGAGGGAGAGGGTGGGCTTGGCGTTGGTTTGGGTGGCCAAGGGCTAGGCCAGCGGATGGGGGTTTTGGGAGGGGAATTGGATTGGATCTAAGGGAGGTATGTTGGTTGCGGGATGATGGTGGAAGAATGAAAAGAAGCCGGTGGGTGATAACGAAGATAGAATAGAGAACGTAGAAGAATAACACGAGCCACAGACTCTTCCGGTGAATGGTTGGTATTGTGCTTGCCCACACGTTGGGCTCTCTCTTCCCTCTAGTGCATTCACAAGAAGAATAAGACAAAATAAAATTTCATTTAATCATTCATTCTCCTCTTACAATAGATGAGGCCTCTATATACATGCCTAAAATAAAAATAAAGAAAAGACTTAAATATCCCTTGGGCTACAACTCAAATAAACTTAAGTAAAAGGGTACAATCGGAACTAGCAAATAAATATAACATAATACATGAATGCATAAAAAATAAAGACTGTAAATTGTAGTCATCGATCTACGATTCCTATGCCGATAAATTTGTCGATAACGTCTGTCGATGTCCTCATCAATTTTAGTCTTCAAAATAATATTAAAAAGTTTAGTAAGCTAATGAATTGTTTGATCTCCAAAGCATTTTCAAACCTCTCTGGGTATATCATTAGGTCCTAATTTTTCATACTTTTCTTTAAAACATCAATTTTATTAATATGACGATAAAATAAAAAATCATTATTTTTATTTAAGATGGTAAGGTTACTAAAGTTGATTGCATTCTCACAATCTTCATTGAAAAACTTATCAAAATATTTCATCCATCTATGTTGATTATTCTCTTCCAAGGTTGAAAATTGCGCAATTGGGTATTGAGATATTTTTTGTTTTGTGAAGCGAGGCATAAGCTCAAAGGCCTTTTGAGGCGTAAGCCTCAAAATTAAAAAATTATGTAAAATGAAAATAAAAGTTAAAATTAAAAATTTTATATAATATTCAAATAAAATGTTTTATGATGACATATTAACTTCATATTGAACTATGAAGTAACAAATTGACATACATATGAAATAACAAATTGCATAAGATGTAAAGTGATGAGTGATAAATTGTGTGAAATATAATTGAAATCTAAATATTATAAGAGCAAAATAACATAAAATATATGAATCATATAAAAATATCATATAACATCAAGTTCAACTTTAAATTCATTGTTTCTTAGTTGCGTACTCATCAATATTTAATTTTTAAAGAAAATTGAAATAGTTGACAACAACTCAAAAATTATCTGCATTGTCACCACTAAGGGGTCTTTTTTTGAGTTGTCATAACAAATTAATCTCTCCTCTGTCTCATCGTGTGGAGTCCAATACCTCAGAATCCGCTTCCTTTTCATTTATTTTACTACACATTTTATCTTTCTCTTTCATAAAGATTTGTCATCAACATAAAAATAAGACCACAACAATAACAACATCAAGCCTTTATCCCACTATGTGGGGTTGGCTACATGAATCCTTTTTCTCCATTGTGCCCTATTAAGAGTTAAATTCTCATTTAAATTTAATATAGAAATGTCATTTCTAATATTTTCTAGACTATATTTTATAACCAAGTCTTTTTAGGTCTACCTCTTACCTTTCTTTAAATAGGCCAAATCTAATACATCTACTCTCCTAACAGGCTCATCAGAAGGCCGCAGTTTACATGACCAAACCATATAAGGCGGCTCTGTCTAATCTTATCTATCACTGGAGCTACTCCATCCTTTTCACGGATATGCTTGTTTCGTAACTTGTCTCTAAGAGTAAATTCACTCATCCACCTGAGCATCCTCATCTCAACAACACTTAACTTAATATATGCTTCTCTTTTAATGGCCAACATTCTATGCCATAAAGCATTGCAAATCTCACCAACATCTTATAAAAATTTCCTTTAAGTTTGAGTGGTACTTTTCTATCACATAACAAACACGAATCATTCCTCCACTTCAACCATCCAACTTGAATTCTACTAATAATATTTCACCATCACTTTGAAAAATAGACACAAGATATCTAAAACGAGTACACTTAGTAATGACTTGACCATTCAAAGTCACAAACCTCCCACTAGATCTATTACTACTAAAATTACACTCCAAATATTTGGTTTTAGATCCACTCAAACGAAAACCTTTAGACTCTAAGATTGACCTCCATAATTCGAGTTTACCTTCAACTCCCTTTATAGTCTTATCAACAAGAAGAATATCATCAGAAAAAAGCATACGCCAGGGTACATCCTCTTGCAAATGCCTAGTAAAAACATCCAATGTTTTATTTCAAGATGAGACTAATATTTCAAAAATTATTAGAGGAGATGGTGGTTTGTAGTTTTCAAGTGATCCCCGACAACAACTATGATGGTGGTGGCTATGAAGAAGACGTTGGGATGGAGGTTGAGGCAGTTTAGAGGAAGTTGCTGCGGCTTGGAGTGTAAGAACGCATATTTTTTTGAGGCTTTTATTTGGGATTTACGTTATAAAAATATAGTGAGGTGCACGCCTCACGCCAATGAGGTGAGGCGCATCTTAAGGCGGGCCTCAGCCAAGCTGAGATGCAAGCCTCATAACAAAGCTTGAGGCGTAAGCCTCGTGATGTTTTTCACTGCAATTGCGCTTAGGCGATCCTCACATTGCGCAATTATAAACCACACCCTTCTAAGAAAAATACTTTTTGATCTTCATCCATAATGCACTTCACTTGAATTAGGTCTTATCTCTTTGTTTGGCTAACTTATACATATATCTTTCATTCTCCTTAGTATCTAATCTATTACAAAAATTAAAATCTTTGCATCACATATTGTTGTATTGAATTCGCTTTGGACTCAGTCATAATATCTTTTCCAATTTTTCACCTTGTCATCATCATGAGGGAGATGGTGCCTCTTGGGATAATTTTCTTCTTTCGGCTTATCATCGAATGCAATTTGATCCCTAACATGTAGGGCTTCATGGCTTTGATAGTTGTCGAAAGTCCGTCTTTTTCTCCTGTAGTTCACCATTCTTCATGAGTTCTGGGCTCTGATATCAACTGATGTAGTACATCGATAGAAGAAAGGGATGCAAAAACACAAAAACTACAGAACCAAATAACAAACCCAAAAGAGCATAATATTCTTCATTCCCTTAGCATAAACTATGAGCTAATATATAAGCTCAACAAGGGCAGGAATGTCCTTTTGCAGGAAAAAGGCCAACCAGCCTAAAAAGGTCGACCTATAGTACTACTAACAGAAAAACAGAGTAACTTGGTAGTAGCAGGCAACTAAAGAAAACATAAATTATAAGGTAATAAATGGTATACTAGACTCTAAGCATATTATAATTAAGATGCTCTGCATAAGTGGGCATATACACAAACACAAATACTTAAATGTCCATATGTGCGCCATAATGCAAACTAAAATCAATGCTAAGGCGTGGAACTTGAAATTTTCTAACTCCTGTTGAAACCAGAAGGTCAGGGATATATGCTTTTAATGAATAGATTAAGATCATTATTGGAAATCTTGCTTTTTACCTACTTGTAAACCATAACTGCTATTGCACTTGTTCTGACCAGTTCAAACATCATTTCTTTTTCTTCTATACACACTTCAGAAATTGTAAATCCCGCTGAACAAATGACTTCTAATTGGACTGTACAATAGCTCCAAGTTTTTATTGCATACTGGAAGTTCATTAGGAGAAGAGCATGCAAACATGATGGAGATGATCCTATGACGTTTTTTTACAGCTGGGCTGCAAGGATTGGGAAGAGAGGCCCGTAGAAGGGGACATGGAACAGGTAGTAGGAGCTGGAGCGAGCTAATTGACACAAAAAGGTGGAGTAGTAGGTTTGCAACTAGGAAATGGAGGGAGCTAGAACCCTAGAAGATAGACACATAAAATGCACGGCAATTTATTGAGAGAAGACATCATGGCCGTTAAAACACCTGAGGGAGCCAGAGTTTTTGAGAAGTCACAGAAATCTAAAAAAAAAATTAGGATTTTCCTACAAATCAAATCTTACAGTATTTTCCAACCGTCTAAAAGTAAAATCAAAATTCAAAATTTGAAGTTATATAAACTAGAGCAACAACTTAGTTGAGTACTAAGACTTTGTTTGGGACGGCTTTCTTCCTGCTTCTTAAAATAATTTTTTAGCTTTTTTTAAAAAGCAGTCAGAAAGCCGTCCCAAACGAAAAGCCTAAATCTCATAAAATTTTATCTGATGATTGATCCTTATGCAAATGAGCACTGAGTTCGCTTATCCATAATGTGTTGCAAAATGTTCATAGATTTGACGTAATCAATTTGAAAGGGTTTGCACATATTTGAACTGTGAAATTCAACAACCATCCAAACCTAATAGTTAATTGCACCCTCTCTTGTGCTTCAAGTTTTGATTTTTTCTTTTGCTTCTTCCCACTATCAACAGGTGTGACTTACGTACCAGAGCAGCCATTGAAGATCTATGCTACTTCCAGCATCGCAACAGGAATTGCTTAAGCTACAGTATAATTTACGCATGATTTCTTTCTATCATTTGGCGTTGCTTGCTGAGGAAATGTAAAGATAGGTGCTTTGTAGCATAGGGATCCTCTGTAGCTACCAAGTTCTTTCAAACTTGATGACTGCTTGGTCTGTTCAGGCAATGTCTCTATACTGAATCACACCTGATTCCCTCAAGGATGACTGAACAGAATTTCCTAGGCTACAAGTTGTTCTGTAAGTCTTCTTCAGTTCTCGTCTGTTTAAGACTTACGTTTCGTTTGGAACAATTTTTTTACTGCTTTTTAAAGCAATTTTAATACAAAATTTTAATTTTGATACTAAAAAGCTGTTTTAAGAAGCCATAAGAAAGCTGTCCCAAATGAGAGCAAACACGCTGAGTTTTCCCTTATAATTTATATATATTCTATAATTCCATATTGTTAAAATACATCAGCAGCTGCACCTTTATCCCAATTTTTATTTGGGATTTTGGACTCTTTCATCATTGCATGTAAGCGAGGAGCTTGAGCTATAAGGATCCAGTATAGAAGACAAATCAATCAACTGTTGAATACAATTTAGATGTTTTTGTACCAATTTGAAACAATTAAAGTCTTGGGTTATGAAATGAACTATTTACTGCTGCTTGTTAATTCGTTCTGGCTGTAGTGACTAAGCTCTGCCTCTTAACATCTCACTTCATTTCATCAAAGTCTTTAATAAGTGAATCGATTAAAAATCTTCTAAAACAAAAAAATAATAATAATTAATTGCTATAATTAATTGGTCCACGGCTCAAATAAATTCAATAAATTCCAGCCTGTATATAATATAGTGGAAATAATTATTTTGCGCCAATTCACAATTGTGCCATTTTATATTTTTTTTTAATTTTTACCAAATGGAGATTTTTCAATGTTATTTCCTTGGAAATTAGCTGGTTCAAACTCAACTCTTTAACAAGCTCTAAGCTTAATTTACTAAGCTATAATTACAAGCTTGATCCGGAGCCAATATTCGAGCTCATATATTACATGAGCTCTAGCTTTCGAGGATTATACGAGTAATTGTGATTCCAAGTCCAAGTGTCCGGGTCGAGATATTAGTCAGCTGATGTAGATCACAACGGAATATTTCAAGCAGATAGGCAAAGGGAAGTGTGCGGTGTCCGAACGTGTCTAGATGTTAATTTGGTCACGTCATATCACCCAATGCAGCATTGGATGATGTGATGCGTCCGAATTCGAGGGTTAATTTTGAGGTGGTAAATACATTTTGGTAGTTTTGTAAGTAAAGCTCAAGGGTGCCTAGCCTGGAAATCCTTCATGAAAGCAACCAGCTTCTCCACTCCGGCAAGCGGCATTGCATTATATATCGAGGCCCGAACTCCGCCCACCGATAAATGCCCCTTGAGCTGAACCATCCCCTCCTTCGCAGCCTCTTCAATAAACTTCTTCTCAAGCTCCGACCTTTGCAAAGTGAAGGGCACATTCATCAAAGATCTCACGGATTTTTCAACATGGCTGACATAGAACTCACCACTCGCATCAATGGCGTCATATAGAACACCAGCCTTCTTCTCATTCTTCTTCTCCATCGCCACAAGCCCACCCTGATGTAGCAGATACTCAAAAACCAGAGAGCAGATGTAAATCGTAAAACAGGGCGGCGTGTTATAGAGCGAATCGGTGTCTGCATGTGCCTTGTAATCAAGCATCACGGGGGCGATCGGCTGCGCATGGCCAAGCAGAGCTCGGCGGATGATAACAATGGTGACGCCTGAAGGTCCAACGTTCTTCTGCGCGCCGGCGTAGATCACGCCGAACTTAGATATGTCTACAGGTTTCGAGCAGAAATTGGAGGACATGTCAGCAACGAGAATCGAGCTTTTGTTCATTGGATTCGGGTAATCCTTGAACTCAACCCCTTGGACGGTTTCGTTCCCACAAATATGAAGGTATTTAGCATCTAGGGTTTGTGGGATCTCATCAAAAGAACAAATCCGAGTATATTTCTCCGATTTCCCAGACCAAATAACGTTTGGCTTGCAGAACTTCTGGGCTTCTTTTGATGCCCTAACGCTCCAAGATCCGGTAACGATGTAATCGGCGGAGTCTTCGGGCATGCAGAGGTTGAGAGGGACGGCGGAGAATTGGGTGGTGGCGCCTCCTTGGAGGAAGAGAACGGCGAAGTCATCGGAAATGGAGAGGAGGCTTCGGAGATCAGACTCGGCTTTCTTGATGACAGCGTCGAACTCCTTGCCGCGGTGGCTTATCTCCATGATGCTCATGCCGGAGCCACGGTAGTTGTATAGCTCGGATTGGGCTTTCAGGAGGACAGATTCAGGGAGGGTAGCTGGGCCAGCGGCGAAGTTGTAGATGCCGCGGTCGAGGACAGCAGCGCAGGAGATGGAGAAGCGGCGGCGCCAGAAGGAGGAGGAATTGAAGTGGAGATACGTTAGGGAAGTCGAGGACAATGTGGCGGTGGCCATGAAAGGAGGAGAAGGAGAAGTGAGCGTCAGCACGACTGAAGATCTTCGGAGAGCGGAGGAACCAAAGGTGGCATAGAAGGGCCGTGTAAAGCAGGATTTACTAATATTGATAATTTGTTTTAAGTAATATATGTATACACAATTTTTGTTTGAAATTTATTTTTCAATTTAATTTTGATATATTTAAAACTGATTAGATTTGACACTTTTTTTAAAAAAATTTATTATGGTGGCTACCTCTATATGATCATTTAAATAATTTTGAATATTTTTAATATATTGCATTTATTTTATATTTTATATTATTTTTTCTCTATTTTTTTATCCAACTAAAGAGCCTATGATCATCTCCAATCGAACTACATACTATTATATGCCACCCGCAAATCATTACATTCGAACTTCAAATCTCACATAAAAAATCAATAGGTGAATAATGCAACACAAATATTGACGTTGTAGTATTTACTGACGCTAAAAAAAGCGATTACTTTCGCACTATGCTTAGCTTCGCAAGAAACACACGAAATAGAAGAGAGATGGTTACCTTCGCAAAGAAGTGCACAAAAAAAAAGAATTTCATTGGAGATGAACTATCGCATTTTAAAATTTTACGGCATTTTAGAGTGGAAAATGGAGTTTTTGGTTAGAGACTCCCTAAGTGGGGTAAGAAAATAAAAACTAAAATCCTGTTCCCATTTAATGCCAATTGGCAAAATTATCCTTTGATTTTTTGTTTTTTTTTCTAAAGGAAACGAGGTGCGACTGAATTTAAATTAAGAACATTATGATGTTAGTATTCCATGCTAGAATATTAGAGGTATAATATAAAAACATATGATATTTTAGCTTTATATAAAACATTCAATGATGAGATAATTTAATGATAAGAACATAGGAACATGTCCAATCACTTATAGTTAGTGAGAACTTTATATATTTTAGATCAGATTAGAGAATCAATTTGCTTATGATTCTATAATCAAGAGATACACATAAAACATTGACCTTCCAATCATTTAATTAAAAGAATATATGTATTATATATACCTTATATTAAAAAACATAAAGATAGATCTAAAAATGATTTTTTAATTAAATTTAAATAATAATTTAACTCTTAATAATATAAAATAAAAAAATCATGTAACTAACCTTAGGAGCTAGGAAAAAAGCTTGATATCTAGCTTATATTAAGAAAGTTTAATATAGATGAACCCTTATAAGAGGATAAGGACTTGATGCTATTGCTCTTGTCATTTTTGTATAAATAATAGTAATAAAATAACAATTGAGGTCATGTTTGGGGTGTTGCGTCCCGTCACCGGATGTCCGGACATCCAATCCGGCGACACCATATCAACCAAATACGCTGAGTCCCGGTGTACTTTGGTGACGTGACGACACCGAATTGGTATCCGGACACCGGACACAATAATTTGCCCATGTTTGATACCCCTCAAAATAATTTTCAATACATTAAATCTAGGTTGGCTTACGTGGGCATGCTAGTCTTATAATTTACTACTAAAAGTTTTAAATGATTAATACATCAATCATAGAAGAACAATGTCTGATTTGCCAAATAAAGTAATAATACCAATTTCTTTGCACTGGAGCAACATTCTTGTTTAGTTATTTGTCAGGATAACTGTTCAGATATAGAAATACAATAACGCTTCCCCTTCCTTAAACAATGGCTCCCCACAAGGGTAAATTATTAGGCCCGGTTACCGGACGTAGAAATACATATGAACACCAATAACATATTGACATGTAAAATGTACACGTGTCCGTAAAATTTTGTCAAGCGCGTCAAAAGCACAAGTAAAGCGCACCTAAACCGGAGTTAAAGAGCAGTCAAAGCACAGTCCACGTGGCAAGTTTTAATTGAATGTCCGTACCTAATAATTTCCCCCGCACAAGAGATACATCTATGCATTTATCTGTTCAAAATAGCCCTTCACTCATGTTTATATATATATGGGTGTAGCGACATATAAGATATGTAATATATAATTTATATGAGATTTAAAATAGAGTTTATATTTGAGATAATTGTATTTGGTTTAATAATTAAGGTTTTTTTTTTGGACCACTTTTTTATTGTTTTTTAAAACAAAATTTTAGTACAAAAATTAAAATTTTTTTGTCCAAAACGAAGCCTAAGATTTCATTTCAGACGGTTTTCTTACTGCTTCTTACACAACTTTCTAATACAAAAATTTGAAAATTTTTGTGCAAAAAAATAATTTTAAGAAGCAATAAGAAAGTCATCCCAAACGAAGCTTAAGATTTCATTTGAGTCATCTTTTTAAGACTTTGTTTGGGACGACTTTCTTACTGCTTCTTTAAGCAGTAAGAAAGCAGTCCCAAACAAAGCTTAAGTGAACCAAATAAACCTCATTTGCTTACCGTCTAAACCCTAATATCCTTTCTATAAAATGCTGGTCATGATAAATATATGAAATGTACACACTACACTGAGACAATTGGAAGGGCGAGGCGATGGATAGAGAGAGAGAGAGAGAGAGAGAGAGAGAGAGAGAGAGAGAGAGAGACAGCAGCGTTATCAGAATAAGAGAAGGGAAACATAAGCCAGCCCAAAAAAGAAAAAGAAAAAAAAAAGCATTCTCATAAGAAAGATGATATGCACCTCTAGAGAGCTGAAGCCACTTGTTGCCTCATCGGTGTGAGCGACCTTGCTAATGGCAGAGGAACATATGCTCGGACTCTCGTCCCATTCTCCATATATTCCTTACATAAAAATTAAAAAAGTAATAAGCTTAAGACAGATTTATAAATGGTTTCACTCAATGAACTTTTCATATAATCAGTCCTCGACCGATTAAATTCAAAAACAGTTAACAGCATATGGTGTTACTTAAGTTTCGTTTGGAACAGATTTCTTCATGTTTCTTAAAACAGTTTTCTAGTATAAAAATTAAAATTTTGTACTAGAAAGTCGCTTTAAAAAGCAGTAAAAAAGTCATCCCAAACAAAACTTAGTATTTCGTAAAACAGTTTTCTAGTTTCAGACTGTACACTCCAGTATAGCATAATAATGATATATGCATCTCAGTTTCTAGTCTCCTGTAAATATCATGGAACTCAAGAAATGTGTCTACGCCACTATTAATAGATCTGAAACAATAAGAGGAAACTGCTTATTTTAAAGAACTTTTGAGCTTAAGCTTTTATTGTTTCCTGGTCCCGTAGATGAAATTCCCCTCATCAAACCTAAATAGAGTTCTCTTACCACGATTAATTGCATGTTTGATTTGCTTTCTGCAATGGATAATGTGAAAGTATAGATCTGTACTAGAAGAGTTCACCTTACTGACTTCTACCAAAAGTATAGCTATTTTTCCAACACAAAAAGAAAGAAAGTACACTATCCAACAAGATTACATCAAAGTTATCTGTTAGAAGGTCCAACAGATGTGATGCAGAATAGATGTGGCAGTGGCACAAACACCTATAGAGCAAGCTTAATGGTAGAAGTCTTAAAATAAGAAGCAAAAGCTTGAGCCATAAATACACCACAATAGGTTGCAAATGTCTATGATTTGCCTATAGTTCACATTCAAAAAAACATATGTAGAACAAAAGACCACCATGCAATTCTGCTTCAAAGAAACATCACCTGTATGGTCTTTCTCAAACCCAGTAGAATTATGAGTACCATTGTTAAAGTAGATTTTGCAGAAAGAATGACTATGATGTAAATAAAAGGTCAAGTCCTTTCACAATTTGATAGCACAAACATAATTTGAAAATATAAGAAAGATAATAATGTACCTTTTAAAGCTGCAAACTTTTTAGCAAGCAAACAATTATATATTCACATTTCTTCTACTTGATGTAAAACCATGAAGAGTACAAAGCGAGAGGCCAAAAATAAAAAAAAAATAAAAATAAAGATAAAAGGAACTAATGCTCCAAAAGTTTGGCCGTATTCATTCCAAAAAACAGAAGCACTAAGCAAGATACATACTGTTTTCTCTACTATTCCAACATGATGAATAGTATTGAGGAGGTCACTCTTGCCATATGGAAGAAAAGCTTCCACTAGTACCATTGACTCCTGTTAAATAATATATAAGCATTAAATGGGAGACTTCAATGCAGAACAAATGCATGGATCAAAGTAACCTAATGTACCCTCAATTTTGCTTGAACTGCATCACAGAATTGCTCCAACCCATCACCAATGGTAGCTGATATGCAGAGGATTCCTTTCTTTTCTGCTTCGCGTTTTACTTTGCAAGGATCATCAGTCTTGTCAACCTTCAAAAAGAATAAAAAACCTACAATAATAGTGGTTCGATCATGCAGCTCGTAGTATCCAGGTCAGCAAAAGGATAGATTGCTCTATAAGTGAAGAGGCGGATTGCACTTCCGCAAATATACAAAAAGGCTGGTCAAAGCAGTAGTCTTATTGATGGACACAGCATATCGTAGAGAAACATTAAATTTTCATCTCAAAAAGATTTTTTTTTTGTATATTGTGCCTCGGTAAATTCACCAAAAGAACTGTAAAAACCTTTAATGAAGGATACCCTACTGCTCAAACATATAATAATTTTTCATCTGGAGGATGACAATTTCTGCTATTGTGCTACATCCACTGAATGAGTCATTTTTTATGGTACAAAAGTTACTTTCATTGAAGAGATGTAAATAGTGCCATTACTTTACCAATAATAGACATTTCAAGTGTTAATGAAATAAGAATAATAAATTTGATGTGTGGCAAAAAATAGAAAGATAAATTGAGAGAGATTTTTGTAAGACAAAACATCATAGTACAACTCATTGAAATTAAGACACAGATAAAAGTGATATAAGCATATATCATAAAGGTTAGAAGATGCAACAATAAGCTAGGTGGATAAACTTAATACTAAAATAGGGAGGGATCCATGTGTTGGTATTGACCTCCATATGTATCTCTCAACTGATTCGAGCAGACCCAACGAGAAAGATGGCCAACTGATGTGAAGTCGCATCAACTAGGCTTGAAACACCTTTATCACAACCAAAGTCAACTCAAATGTCGCCCATTAGCAAAATGAATCACGTTGATATGTTTGGAGTGTCAAAACGTCCAAGGAAAGCACCTCACACGACCAATTCGATCAATCTCAGCCAAAAAGTTGAACAACAGGCGTTAAGTCATGCAAATTCACTCAAATGTTGCCCTTTTGCATAATAGATTGCACAGACACGTCCGGAGCATATAAATCAACAAAGAAGCACCTCATGTGCTCAATTTGGTTAGATGTAAAGAAAACGTTGAATGGATGCGACGTAGAGCGAACATTATCCGTTTGCAAAATAAGCTATGTCAATACGTCAAGAGTATCAAAATTACCCAAAATGCACACACATATTGTGTAGGTTACTGCACGAATGCAAATCCAAAATTTGTTCGCCCGTTAGGTGACAAAATGAAATTCGTGATGTGCAAGGAACTAGAAATTCCACGAGAAGTCGATTCACATTTATATTATATTATATTATATTGTATTATTTATTATTATTATTATTTGATTAATTTATTTAAAAATCAATTAGAAATATCATATCACCAAATTCCTTCTCCTCATACACCATTCCATCGCTACTAGATGTTGTATCTTGTCGTTCAGCTATCAACAAAAAAATGCTAAACATAAAGCGCACAAACTCCTCATTCCCTTTGAATTCCTACTCACGTGCCCGCTCTTCGCATCTCCTCTTCATCTCATCCCAGCTCCTTTCAAGGCCAAGCTCGCCACTCCTCTCTCCCATTACCAAAAGAGTTTGAGAAAAGTGCTGAGATCATAAGGCAACATTGTCATGGATCGGTTTGTGTCATAGTTGAGGTGTTAAAGCTTTCCTCTAAGATAAAAGATCTTTAGATAAGTATTAAAAGTTTGATGCCTTGTAAAACAAATCTAAATATGAAACACAGACATAATCGTGCAATAAATAAAGAACAACATCATTATCAAAATTGTCATCCAACCATAGCTAAAGCTATAGAATTACATATTGTTGACACTTGAGTATCAAGCACTTGCTGAGATTGTAACACATCTTCAAAATTTACAAACTCATCTCACTTAATGTATTTTCTTTTCTTTTCTTTTCTTGTACTCTTTAAATTTATTCATGAAGATCTCTTTTTACATAACTGATGCTTTATACTAGTATTATTCTGAAAAAATTCAATGAAATTTACTAATTAAGGATCATTTCTTTGATCTTAACCAAATGGCCAAATGAACGTATTATTGGAATTCATTAAGCGAGATAAGTGAAGGAATTTCTTGACTTACTAAATTTTTTAATATTATTTTGAAGACTAAACATATGTCAGATGAGTGGAGAATGAGTGTGTTTATTCCTATTTTTTAAGAATAAAGATGATGCATAAGATTGTGCAAATTATAGAGGAATTAAGTTAATGTTATACTTTAAAACTATGGGAGAGAGTTATGGAGCATAGGTTACGACATGATACTAATGTTTCTCAAAATCAATTTGGATTCATGCCGGGTAAGTCTACTAAGGAAGCTATACATTTATTGAGAGGTTTAATAGAGACGTATAGACAGAATAAGGAGGATGTTTATAAGATACTTATTGATTTAGATAAAGCATATGATAAAGTTCCAAGAGAAGTGCTATGGAGAGTTCTAGAAAAGAAAGGGATTCATAATGCTTATATTCAAGTCATTAAGGATATGTATGCAAGAGTTGTTACTTGTGTTCAAACAAAGGTGGTTTGACCAAGTATTTTCTTACTTTTGTTGGATTACATCAAAGATCAGCCTTAAGCCCATATCTTTTTGCCTAATGGACGTTCTCACAAGACATTTGCAAGAGGTTGTACCATAGTGTATACTTTTTGCTAATGATATTCTTCTTTGTGATAAGACTAGAGAGGGAGTTGAAGGTAAACTTGAATTATGGAGGTCAACCTTAAAGTCTAAAGGTTATCGTTTGAATAGATCTAAAACTGAATATATGGAGTGTAATTTTAATAGTAATAGATATAGTGACTTGAATTATGGAGGTCAACCTTAGAGTCTAAAGATTTTCGTTTGAATAGATCTAAAACTGAATATATGGAGTGTAATTTTAATAGTAATAGATCTAGTGTGAGGATTGTGCTTTCAGCGATCAAGTCATTAATAAGAGTACACATTTTAGATATATTGGGTCTGTTGTTCAGAGTGATGGTGAAATAGATGAGGATATTTTTAGTAGAATTCAAGTTGGATGGTTGAAGTGGAGGTATGCATCGGGCTTGTCATGTAATAGAAAAGCCCCTCAAACTTGAGAAAAATTTCTATAAGATGGTAGTGAGACTTGCAATGCTTTATGGTGTAGAATGTTGGCCATTAAAAGAGAAGCATAATATTAAGTTAAGTGTTGCAGAGATAAGGATGCTCAAGTGGATGAGTGACTTTACTGTTGGAGATAGGATACAAAATGAGCATATAAGTAAAAAAGGTTGGAGTAGCTCCAGCGGAAGACAAGATTAGAAACCTCTATGTCTAACCTTTAAAATCTCGTTAAACCAAATAAATAAACCTTTGACTTTTTAAGAACTACTTACTTTTTTAACTCAAATATTCCATACGAAATTTGATATTAATCAACTTAATTTATTGGAGAGTTTTAGCACAAAGCAAGTGATCCATTTGAATAAACATACATATATATATATATATATATATATATATAATGCCCTCTCTTAAATAAGTGGTTTTGGATTCCATTTCTTCACTATATCATTATGTATAATATTTATTCAAGAATCAACCATTGATTGGAGATATTAATAGTTAACCATTTAAATTGATGAGCTAATAAATTCCTCTTTGATATTCATTCTCGATAATAGAAGGGCCTTTCCAATTAGGCTTGAATTTACCATCAATTCTTCGATGCAGAATGATTGGCCTACTCAACGTCAAGACCAATCCCCATATTGGAATGTTCGAGGGCACACCAATCGATCAAAGGATCTAAACATCATTGCTCAATAGATTTCAAGATTTTTTTCAGCTTGAAGTCTAACCTCATATAGTACGACAAGCACTTTCATTTGCAGGCTAGCATTTTAATCTTGAGCGAGATTATATAGTGAATAACTACTCGAAGTGATGTCAACTGAACCTCAAGTGATAATATTGCCTCATCTCTAAACACTAATGTGTATGGAGTCTATTTTCATTGACATCTTGTAGGACTATTTATTTTAGTATGATATGTCTATAACACTTTGGTCATTTTAGTATGACATTTATTTTATTTTTAGATTTAGATAGGATCATCTTGAGCAACTTTACTAATATTCTATCAAAGGCTTCAACCAAGCTACTTGCACTTGAATTGTACATGGATGAGTATTGCCAATTAATTTTATATTGATCAATGAATCTATATATTTTGATGCTTTTGAAAGTTGGGCTATTGTTTGGGATAACATCCAACGGGTTTGCTTCTTGTCTCAAGTAGGTCCCCTTGATAAGCCTATTTAAAGGAATTTTACGTAATAAATGAATACTTGGACAAAAACAATCATGATAAACCCAGATGAAATGTCAGGAACCTAACTATAATATTTTTAAAAATGTTAAGGGCCTCCTGATTGATGTGGAACCATAATGAAGAAAAAGGGTAGACGAAAAGTAGCATGGATAGGACTTGTGCAAAAGATCAAGTTAGAATAAGATTTTGTTTGGAAAAACTTTTACACTGCTATTGTGGTAAGAAAATCAGTTGGTAAAAAATAACATGTTTGGAAGGCAGCTTTTCACCATTATTTCAAATTTCTACCTTTAAAAGATATTTTTGGAAAAGCATTTTTAAAGCTACGGCTAAGAAAAACATTAAAAAACAAGAACATAAAAGCTTAAGCAGCCCCAAATAAAGCCTAAATTTCACATCTCAAACAATATTAACAAGAATGTATAGAAAAGAAACATTCACAAAACCAACCCCAAATAATTGGGATAAAACTAATGATAATAATTAAGATTATGATAGAATTTCTTCAAAAAAAAAAAAAAATCTGAATTCTCGAGAGAGCTTTGTTCTTTTATACCAGCATCTATTCTCAAATATTATAACCAGGAAAACACTTTTCTCAAACCATAGAGTTACCTTGTTCCACACCACCAGCTTTGGAATAGAAGCCACATCCAATTCTTGCAGAATCTTGTCCACTGCATCAGTTTGTTGTTGTGCTAAAGGATGACTGCAATAGGTTACTTTATAGTTTAATAAAATATCATACAGCATGTTAAGGATGGCAAAAAGAAGAGTAAAAAAAGAGGTCTGTCAAAATATTAGCACCTGATATCCACCACATGAACTAAAAGGGATGATTCAGAAATTTCCTCCAATGTAGCCCTGAATGCAGCAACCTGTATAATGACATCACTTTGACAAAGAGAATGAGAATCTTATTTTAGCCTTAATATTTCAATATTAAATAAGGTGCAACCTGCTTCTTATCAAGGGGAAGAGAACAGAGGATAAAACAAACAAGGGCTACCATATTTCAAAAATACAGATTGAGATAACCAAGTTCTAAAAGAAAAGGTCGGAACAGAAAATAGAGAATGAAATAGGTACTTGTATACATACATGTAGATGCATTGCTAAAACCAATGTAGAAATGAGTAGAAGACAATTGATTTTAATTATTCACTATATCTAGAGGTTTAAACAAAATCGGGGGAGATGACTAATGACTCTCCCCTAGACAACAAATAAATATTTTCCAAATAATAACGACCATAATGGAAAAACAATAACACAAGATCTAAATATTTGAATTCAAATCTTTATTACATCAAATGATGCACAAAGAAAATATTAGATTGGTGAGTTTGATAAATCTACACAAAGAAGGAAAGAAAATCATGGATCAATGAGCTAGATGAAGCAAATAATGGAAGCCCCCTAGATATCCATTGACAACCAGACAAGGGAATCCACGTAATCCAATAGCATCCAATACTCCCCTTTAAGTTAAATAGTATAGATCAAGCAAATCAACTTGAAGTTCAGGCTCTTGAATCTGCTATGTGAAAGAATTTTAGAAAATATCAGCTGTCTGAAGATTTGAGAGTGTATACGAGTAGGATAGTATTGTCATCAATTTTTTTCTGAATAAAATAAAAATTAATCTCTATAAGCTTGGCTTGATCATAAAACACCAGGTTCTTTGAAATGTTAATGGTAGCTTTATTATCACATAGTAATGTCATTGGACTATTGGATGATCTATTTAATTGTTGCAGCATTCTCTCCAACTATATCCAACACAGATCTCATGTGGTATAGCCCTGAATTCTACTTGAGCATCGCTTCATGCGACAACAGCTTATTTCTTGCTTCTTCACACAACAAAGATTCCCCAAAGATATGTGCAATATCTAGTAGTTGATCTCCAATTATAGAACTTGCCTAACATACATCAATGAACACTTTCACATCTCTGTTGAAAGTTTTGCCAAAAAATGTACTCCTTTGACCAGATTATTTTCAACAATCTAAGGATTCGAAAAACAAATACTATTTGCAGTTTTGTCGGATTATTCATTAATTTAGTGGCCATGCTATCTGGCAGTAAATATTTGATTTGATGTGTAATATAAATCAACTTTCAAACTAGCCCCTAGTATCTCCCTTTATCAGTACGAGGACTTTTATCCTTAGTCCCCATCTTAACATTTGAACCCATAGCTGTATCTATTGATTTACATCTCATCCTAATTTCTTTAAGGAGATTCATTCAGATAGAGAGATGTCATCTCTTGATTGGGCAAATTTCATTCAAAAAATGTTTTTTTTTAAGCTATCTCACAAATTCCTTTGCCAAAATTTTTTTTAAGTTGGTTATTTCTTCCCCATTATTTTCAATAATAATAATAATACCATCAACATAAATAATTAGAATGACAATCTAATAGGACATATATTTTATAAGCATAGTGGTAGGATTGGTGGAAGTTTGACAATGTGTTTGAAAATTTGGTATTTGAGTGGACAAACGATTCATGAGAAATATTGCAATTAACACATCTTTCCCTTAAAAATGTTTTGGAATAAGTGAGACAAGCATGATCAATAGAGATACTTCCACAGTTCCATCAAATATTTACTATTCTTTTGGCAACTTCATTTAGTTGTGGAGTGCAAACTCATGTTCACTGATGGGCAATCTCATTACTGAATAAGTAAAACCCAAAGGTAGAGTGATAGTACTCATACCCATTATCAATCCGAAGTACTTAGATTTTAGCTTGGAATTGGGTTTACACTCTTATTAAATTTTGAAAAAAGTTGCTAACTTCATATTTATATTTTATCAGGAATAACCATGTGATCTAGAGTAATCATCAATGAATGCAATGAATCATCTTGAGTTGATATTGTTGACCTAGATGGTCCACATATATCACTGCGGATCAAGATAGAAGGATGGGTTGATTTGTAGGTGTGATTAGTAAGTGTTGTGCATGCTTGGATAACTAACAAATTTCACATTGATAAGATCCAAAATTTTGTTTGAATAAGTTAGAAAACTATCTTTTTAGATACAATTTTTTTTGGATAAACAAAGAAATAATGTCATAACATAATGCTTAAAGTTGAACTGCACAAGGCTTCTTTCCATGATTGTCACTCGAGTTATTTTCTGAAGAGGTAGATACTAACAAACATCTAAGCACCAAAATCTTCTACCCTTAATCCAAGACCAGAAATTCACAAATGTTTTGGTGTTAATAACTCAATTAAGGTTCTTTGTAATTTTATTAATGGAAAGGTGTTTGCAATTAAATTTTAGAATATGAAGCATAGATTTAAGGATAATTTTCTTTAAAAGTATGACAGATCCATTGCCAACAACAATAGAAAGAGATCCATCTGCAATTATGATAGTGGGTTTTCCATACTATGATTTTTCACATGCTATGATTTATTCTCATGAAAAATCATAGTACTACCAATCACGTGAACAAAAGCCGCTAAGTCGAAAATCTATGACCTTGCTTTTCTAGATGAAACAATGACTGTCCAGAGAGTTACCTTTTAAACTACCGAAGTTGAGCTCACCACAGATTGATAATCTACATGGTTTGTTAAGACTTTGGTGGTTGCTAAAATAATTTTTTGAGAGAATTCAATTTGCTCTTTGTTGAATAAGCTTTTAGCAGATGATGTTGGAATCTAGGTGGTGTCGTATTGTCATGCATTACATGATTATGTGCTGTCCTTGATTTATTGTGTATCTCTCAAGATTTTCCATGAGTGCATCCAATCTTATGACTAATTGCATCACAACTAGTCATATTCCTGAGTCAAGCATCCCCATGGTTGAATTTGAGTCCTCAAGCAGCAATTATTGAGTTTTCATTGTCACAGTTTCAAGCATTGTTGGGAACTCTTAGACATGGCTTCACAAATACCAGGTAGAAGCTTCATGCTTAGGAGTATCACTTGAACATCATCTAAATTTAAACTGAGTAGGAACTTGTACATTCGTTTCTATTCTATTATCTCAATGTATAACAATCTTCTAGGCACCTCTATTATATTTCATCAAAAAGATGTCTAGTTGTTGTCAATAATAAATTAAAGAGCTAAAATATAACATGATAGTGCATTGCCTTGATGTAAATCATGAAATTGGTGGTCTGCGGATAAAGATAAACTCCAAGAAGAAATCAAGAATTATACTCAGTCATGAAATGTGACAAACGTGTGAAGTTTCATGAAAGCCTGCTAGTCCATGACGAAGTTTAGTCGCATCTTCTTAACACACACCATGCCTCTACATACACTGACAAAGGCCAAATAAAATTTTTCATAGAAGAATAAAATGAAAACATATTTCTTCTTATGAGAAAGATAAACGAGACACTTATCTTAGCCTTATCCAACCATCAAAAATCATTTGAAGAAGAAGGTGCTGTTTTTAGATATGATCTAAGAAGAACAAGTTGTCCACGAGGGGTTGCCAGCTCTCTATTTTGAAGTATGGTGATATGGAGAAGAACATCCAAAAACATGCACACATAAATTGTTCAGTCACTACAAGGTGAATAAGACAATATCAAATTTGTAAGATACGCTAACTAGCCGAGAATGAACTTGGATGCGACAAAGTTCCTAAAAATACGTATATTATGTTGCACCTAAAAGCCATAAATCAAGAAGCAAGGACGTGTAATCTGAAACAGCCATGGAAAAGCATCCCCATAGAGCTTCTAGGAGGATTTCCGTCAATCCAAAAGTCATAAATAGGTTGTGTTGGATAAATTTTTAAAGATGATTAACCACATAGTAGAAGGCAAGCAAACCATGAAGAGAGAAGAGGTCGCATGCCTCTTATTTGAGAATGTTTGGGTAAATTTTGGCTTGTTAAGCTCAATCATCTCGGATAAAAACTCTTGCTTCCTCAATTCTTTATGGAAAGCACTCAAGGCCAAGATGAATACAATTTTGAAAAGAATCATTACTTCCCATCAAAAAACGGACAACCAAACTAAGGTGGTGAAAAGGATTGTGGTACAACTATTGTGTAGAATGAATGCACGGTATCTAAAAATTTGGAATGAAAGTTTGTCACATATCCAATTCACTTTCAACAAGGTAACAAAAAGTTTAAGTTGAGTTCCATTCGAGGTGAGCCTAGGGTATGTACCTTAAAGTTCCTTTGACTTACTTATTAACAATAGCAATAATTAGTCACAAGAACTAAGATGAAAGCCTCGGGAGAACCTAAAGATTTTTGTAGAACGTCCAGATAATTTACTACAAGGTAAAGACCGCTCAAGAAGACCCAACATTATTAGTATGGAGGAAGTTTTAAGGAAGAGATCTTATGTAGCTCCACATTAGCAAGGAGAGATTGAAATATGGAGATGAAAAATTAAGCCCATTAGATATTTCCCATTCAAAATCTCGAAGAAGACTAGGGTTAATATCTACTAATTCCTAAAACATGTAATTAAAACATAGGATCAGCAAACAACCCAATAGATTACATGAAACTTGCAACTTCATTAAATGCAAGGAAATAAGACAATATGCATGTTATCATTCAGTTGATCATCAAAACTAAACATGTACTGAACAAGTAATCTCTATACTACATATGTATAGGTATCATACACAGTGCTATCATGACCAAGATTATTATTTTAAAATCATATATTGTGCAAGTTACTGTATCATATAAGAATGTCTAGGTAGTTGCATTCATCATATAAAACATCTTATATACATATTTATTAAGCAAGATAGAAATGTTAGCTAATTGCAAGCTCATAGGTGAATCGTAGCGCTGTGCTACAAGTTACTTGTTGCTTCTTGTAGGCAAGCTATCGTGCAATGCAAGCTTAGAGAGAAACTTTCTCTTTGTTAAGGGAACTTGAGTGGTTGTTGTGGTGAGGGGAAAGGGAGTGGGCTTGCTAAAAGAAGTGGAGAAGGCTTAGTTGGGTGTTTAGGATGTGAAGGGGAAGAGAGAGCTGGGTTCGGTTTTCTGTGGTATGAGAGAAGGAAAGGGTCGGAGACTTGGCTTGTGTACAATCGGGCTGAGGAAGTTCGGTTGGAAGTTGGCACAATGAAGGGGTCGAATGGGCTGAGCATGTGGAAGAGAGGGATTGGGTTCTGTGTTTGAGTTGGATCGGAAGGTCAGCAGAGGCTTTGAGGAAGCGGGATTGGGTTGTGAGGGTGATTGGGATACCGGGGTCGAAGGTCGCGGTCGGTTGCTAGAATAGGATTGGAGCAGGGAGCTTAACGTGGAAGAGTTCGGGAAGAGAGGAGATGAAGGTTGGGAGCGGCTCGGTTGGCTAGGAATCAGATAGTTGAGGAGGTGCAGTCGACCTGCGTGGAGTTGGATCAGGCCGACAGGGGGCGCTAGAGACGGAGGAAGGCCAAAAGGGAGTCGGGCTGGGTGGTCGAACAGTAGTGTGGATTTGGTCGGGTAAAGGGAGTTCGACATAGTGTGAGGGTTCGGGATCGAGTGAGAACTGGCTGATCGGAACTACTTGCAACACTGGTAGGATCGAGCGTCGAGTTGGCTATGATTTGGGAATTTTTCGTGCATAGAAGAAGAAATAGAACCAAGACTTTTGCCTTCGTTTTAATAGTGCGAACGAGAGAGCAGAGGAGCTGATAACGAGATTAGAGCGGAAATCACGCAGGAGCAGCATCAGCGTCGAATAACAGAGATAAATGACATACTTCTACCTTTTTTATTTTTATATTATTATTATTAAATATTTTATTATTATTATTATTATTATTATGACATGAATAATAAAAATTTCAAAAAAAATCATGCCTCGAAATTAGCATAGTTTTTCCCACATGAGGTTTCTATGCAATATTACAGTCGTTTTTATATGATTCGGACGTTCCAAGCGCAATAGCAAGTCTGCCTTGCGATCATACGTCGTTTGGGCGGTGTCACGCAACATTTTTTAGCGTAGACCGTAGATCGTCGATTTCAATCGTCTTCACCCAATTCAACTGTGAGAGGCTCCCTCTTATGTAATTTCGCCATTTTGATCGCAATGACCTAGTCCATTTGGCGATTGAAAGTCGTTTGAGCGCTTTAATGAGGTGTCATGCTGCTTGATCGTTGCTCGCGTCAAAGATTTTGGTCTTTCTTTGTGTTTCTTAGTGCATGCATCAACAATACTTCTATAGAATAATATAGTATGAACATATAAAAAACTATTTAAATAAAGCCCATGTTCTATAGAATAATATAGTAGAAACAAAACGAGTAGAGCTCAAACTTAGCAAATTATCCAAGTAGAGTCCTTGTTCAATAAAATAATATAATATGAACAATACGAAGATTATGGATAGGTTTTCTTTTTTAGTTTTTCTTGAGGTGATTGAAAGGTTTGTCTGTCGCATGTCATTTTGATTTCTGAAGGACGCAATAAAATTGATGATTTTTCATGTCACACAATTTTCTGCAGGTGCTCCTAATAGCTATACCTAATGTTTGCCACATCACCACCAAAAATTAGGAGATTCATATCAACTGGGAAGTCGTAGAACATACCAACATGGTAGGTAGCTTTTGTATGAACCCAACAGTATCTGTAAGAAGAAATTGTCTACCATTGCTCATCTGCACTTAATGTAGAAATATATCAGTTATTACCTGGAAAACTAATATAAGCATACCTGGAAAACTAATAAAAACATAGTCATAAAGTAGTTACCAGGAACATATAAATGTTCTTTATTTTCCAGGAAGAAATAGTTGCTCCTTCACTAAAGCATTTCACAAGAATAGTATCATTAAATTCTTTATAGACCCCAATAAGGTTTCGTTGGATTTTTTTACATGCCAAAAGAATCTAATAATTTTTAAGGGATCTTAGGTTTGAGTTTGTATATATACAGAACAGAACAAAGAAAAGGTGTCCCTAATGAATAAAGCTCATGCTATTGCGAAGTCTAGGCAGGGATATGTGCAGACTTACAAATGTGAATTCCATTCATTTATATCAGTCAAGAGTAGAAGTCATCTTTTCTAAAGATAATTCTATGATATATTAAAGATAGCATAAAATTCTGAACGATGCATATGAAAACTTCATTTGGTTTTCAATCAACTAGTTGATCTAGTTTAACAACCATGACTTAAGGTTAGCCTTTCCTATCTTTTATTTCATTATGTGGAAATGAACAAACTAATTTCTAAATGTTTTAATGGTAGCCAAATCTTGCGCTGCATTCAAGGCTTATTGTAAAAATTTAAGCTTTCTAGGGAGAGATGTTGTTGACCCTTACAAAGAACAACTTCAAGATATCAAGAATATTCATTAGCCAATTTCATTTACAATATGAAGGGAAAAGGATCCTGTTGAGCTTTATGCAAGTATATATCTTCACTAGACTCCTTGGCTTTCTCAAGAATGCCTAGAGTAAAGTTTGGCATGGATAACAACATTGGAGCTTTTGCAAGGGCAAGATAAATTATTGATGTAGATCTATTTTGATCATTGCAGATACATGAGAGTTCATTAAGAGAATGCTCTACAATTACTTGAAAACAAAGCTTGCTCCAAAGTGAACATTACACCATGAATGCTTCAAAAAGATAAATACGGAGGGCAATGTAAATTTAGTTTCAAAATGCCATGCCTTACACTTACTGAAATTGGTCAATGTCCCTTCAACACTTACTTTAAGATGGAATGATAAGATGTAGAAATCATCTTGTTTGTCAAAAAATGCAGTAGCAATTGCTTTTCTCATGTACCCACACTAACAAATCATAAAACAGGCGTCTAAAATTTTATTACTTGTATGGAATCCTGTTTATTGTCTTACCTGAACCTTTCTAGTAGTAGGATCTAATGTAGCAAATAAACGATCTTCAGCTAGAACATCTGCTCCAGTCAAATGATTAAGCAGCGTGCTCTTCCCAGCATTTGTATATCCAACCTGGAATTTTGAAATTAATATTATCATGAGAAAGACAGAAGGAAAATCTAGGAATAGTATAACGATACTTACAAGAGATACAACAGGAATAGGAACAGATAAACGACGATTGCGATATAATTTCCGATGTTTTCTGACAGATTCCAGCTCTTTCTTTAAAATTCCTATCTGTCCATGATAAACTAGAGAATGTTAAGCCTTGCATACAGATTATTTTCAATATTTTTACCATTTTAAATTGTATAAGCACCTCATCTAATAGTTAAAGTGAAAGCATCCTATACTTCAAATAAAGCCATAAAATAGAATTACTTCATCAAAAAAGGCTTCGTCAATACCATAAAACTGGATATGAATGCAGCATGTATTGATTGACACCATCACTTACTTGAGTACGCAAAATACGCTTATCTACTTCAATTTGTTTTTCACCCATTCCCTTAACCTTGCCTCCTGCTTGGCGTTCAAGGTGAGTCCACATTTTTGTTAGGCGTGGAAGTTGATATTCCATTTGTGCCAAAGAAACCTTGCAATGTTAAAAATAGTTTCAATTTAGTGAAAAAATGAATAGCAACACTAGTAGATAAAGAATTACTGGCGCTAGCAGTTGACTTTATGACATGACATGGTAGTGAAAACACCCAGATATTTTTCTCTTTTTTTTTTTTTCATGCCATAATGCAGCATGCAGTCACAAAACATGCTTAATAATCACAGCACAGCGTGAGCCCACAATAAGTAACTGGCTAGAAAGGTGATGGTGCCGGAATCCTTGATAATTAGTTTTTAGTTCATTTTTGCAACCAAAACCACTATAGTTAAAGTAACTGCTTAAGGTGCAAATTGAGTATGAATTTGTGGCTCTTGGAAATATTCAAGCACCCATAATATATTTCTTCAATGCTCTAAAAACAAAATCCAAAATTAAACAAGTTCAAAGTGAGTAGAGGGAAATTTTAATTTAATACTCGTTGAACACATATGATATGTAGCTTTGATTTCAGTTTTGTTAGAAGGATGCCTATCAAGATGATTACCTATTGAAAACAGGTTGAGTTCTCTAAAATATTTTTTGGTTTTGGTTTGGTTCCCTATGTAGGTTCAAGTCTCCAGCCGCAGGTCCTCATTGGCTGTATGATTTTATTACAACCACTAAATTACTATTTCAATCGCATGTTTTTGTCTGGATATTGTTTGATTTGGTTCCCTATTGCTTTTGTTCATAAAGTTGGTGATTTGTATATTGTATTTGTTTCATTATGTAATTTATATATTTGAATGCTTTCCTTTTAGGGGTTGTAACGTTTGGCTATTGGCAGTTGCCATAAATCATCAAATTCAAGTTGTTGTGTTTCCTTCTACAGTCGAATTAGACACTTCAATTGGTTCATGTGCTCTGTTTCCTTATATGTCCTGAGACTTGCCACTGTTCTTCATTATTGTTGGAAGTCAGTTCACTCTCGCGGACTTGAATTATATATTGTTTTTTCCTATTCAACTGCCCTCTAATTTTAGCAATGCTTGCACTAGCTGAAATAGGGATTGTCAAATCTAGACATGTTATGCGAGAATCCAAGATTATTATTAAAATCGAGACTTGAACCAGATTGTGGGATTTTGAGAAACTACAAATTTCTGAGTCTTTTTGATTATAAATAGAATTCCTGCAGCACGTAATTTAAATCATCCTTAATAAAATTGAAGTTTTTCACTCAAATTCATGTGTTGTGTTGGATGTGAATACTTGAGTGTAAAGCAAGTGTTGGCAAAAACTTTTGAGGAAAAATTTTCGCCGTATTGGGGTGAGGCATGCATCTTCTTTGGTGACTTTTTTGTTCTTTTTCATCTACATTTGTGATCGACTTTTATATGCATGAAAGAAATTTGTTCAAATCTACCATAATTGATTTTTATTCTTGTGTGAATCTAATGGCCAAATCTACTGCCATAAAATTATGGCTCTTCTACATGAACTGATGAACTTCAAAATCTTGATATTAAAAAAATTGAAGAATTGGGGAACAATAAACCATTCTGGCAGTGATTTCGACACAAACACAAAAAAATAAATTAACATCATAAATTGCATAATATAAATTCTTATGAATAATTTTTAGATATGAAGCAACATATGAATCAAAATCTAAAATCGAAATAATAATTGAATATTAAAACTACAAGCAGTTTATTAAATCTTATTCAAAACTTTTACTGTTTCACCTTCTCTTCATGATTTAATCATTAGACAAAATGCAATTTATGCATTCCCCAAACATACATATAAGTAATGAATAGCATATAGTTATCATGCAAGCTCTTTCTAATGTTTTGACTATTTCATAAAGGTTCATGATTTAGTTTGCCCCTCTTTTACGCATAATATACACTCTAAATGTTTCCCTTGGCGTACCACAGTTACAAAACCTAATTATTTTAATTGTCAACAAAAAAAATGCATCTATCCATTCCTTATCTTACATTAGTGTTCTTCTTTTTAATAAAGCAGCTATATTCCCAAGTCAATGCACCTTCAAACCTCTATTTTTGTTGTTGTTTCTACAAGTTTAAGCAAGTCAATGTGTGCTTCCTTTTTTTTTTCAACATTTCTACTGGTAGCTTTTGAAAGTGTTGCAAACATTCTAACAAGATAGAGCTACATTCAACTTATTCAATGACATAAAAAAATGATGTATTAGCTCGCGCAGAAAAAGATGGCGCTACGACACGAACCCCGCTTCCTAGACTTAAGCTTCTATTTTTTTTCTTGAGGTAGATTGGATGTTAATTAACCAGATTCCCCCCGATAATTATATCGTTGTTTATTCAGTTATAAGTTCCTATTTCCTATGAGCGCAAGCCCTCATAATTAATTACCCATCCTATTACACAAAAAAGAACTCTTGATTAAGGATAAATCACCTTTATTTGGGTCCAGACGGGATCAGAGCGTACACGGCGAGCACACGTCTGAGGGCTTCAACTGCAGGGTCGTGCGTGTAATAACTCAAATATGTGAAATAAATTTATTTGAAAAATATGAAAATTTTGAAGTAGAGTGCTTTGGCGTTGACCTGGTGAGCACTGCAATGCTAGACTATGAATAGTGTGTGTGTGTGTGTGTGTGTGTGTGTGTGTGTGTGTATGTTAATATCCTTGCCTCACCCCATCTATTCCCTTACTTAGTTACTTGGACAAGAAGACATTGAAAGAGGGGAAGAAGAGAGATGAAAGAGAAAAGTTTTTTAATCATATTTTTCAATCTTTTTTATTACAGATTTTATTCTATTTATTGTAAGTGACTAATCTCTTACTTTTATTTTCAATGATTTTGATTTCTCCTAAATTTCTCAAAAATATATTATCTCCTGATTTCATGAGCTTTAACTGTGCAAATTTGAATGCATTATAAATTAGATCATTCTAAATGATTTGATATAATTTTATTGCATTTTACAAAATCATATCAGATACATGATATGATAACTCCATGTGATATCCTACTGATCAACATAATTCACTGATTGGAAGTCATAAAGAGCTGGAGATTGATTGGGAGTTATAAAGAGTCGAGACGACTGATTCACATGATTTAAGGAGAGTTATAAGGAGTACATTGATTGGGAGTTATAAGGAGTGACTGATTTGGAGTTATAAGTGCATGAGCAAGATACCCTTAAGATACCCTAATTGAATATCTGAATACTGATACCAACACTGCTACAAACACTGTATTGATATTGTGACTAACACTAATATTATTTATTGTCATTATCACTATTTAACGTTAGTGATTAATACTGTTGATTGTTATTGATACTGTGACTGATGATATAATAGATTAAGATGTAATGAATTATAGAATGATAAATTGATAATGATAATCAGTGTACACATTAATGCATATATTTTTTTTATATGATTTATATCATACTATTCTCTTTTATCTTGAATTGATTTCAGTAATAAGATTTTAATTACTTGCTGGGCTATATGCTCATTACGTAGTTTTACATATTTTCAAAAAATGAAAAGAATTCTATGATATGAGGTTCCGGACAAGACAAAAATATAATCATGTTTCTTTCCGTTGTTCATTAATAAGCTCTAGTTAAATGGTTAAAATGCAGGACATATATAATTCTTCTAATATAGATCCTGGAATATGACAGTGGGAACAGAAGAAATCAAGCACTTCCTTGCGTGCGGTTTTGTGCATCAAGAAGAGTCGAATGGGGAAGGAGAGCCAAGTTTTCTTGCCTGCCAGTGTTTGAATGAGCGAGGTCATGCGGGATGGGGTGATTTTAGTTCCATAAGTGGTTGCGAGATTGTGTGTTAGTGGGGTAGTGGGAGCCGGCCGGGTTGATGGTTTGTTGTTTTGTTTTTTATATTATATTTATTATTTTCCTTTTAAACAATGGCACCGCTATATTACGATCAAGGCTAAATCTCATATGTTCCTTAATGGTTAAAAGGCGCTTAAGTGACACATTATAGGGTGCGCTCGATAAAGTATAAAGCAATTTATTAACGAAGGTTGACTTAAATTCACCACCTCAGACAAACATCCACCCTAGGTCTACAAGATATCTTTGGACGACGCAACCCATGGTTGCTGATAAGGATCCTTCTATTAGTTGGATCGACAATGTCCACTGTCCAAATATACCAGGGACCACGACAGCCAGGGACGACAAAACCAAGGGATCTTGATTGGGCTTGTCTTCATTCCCCCATCAGCTGTTGTAAGTATAGTGTTGTAGCTTCCCAAAAAAGTCACCAATCCTAGACGTTCTTCAACATAAACATTTTTAACTTTGCAGGTCCATGAACTCCAAAATTACACGAGAACATGCATTGATATTTAAAAGTTTCGCTTATACTTAGGGGATCTTAAAATCTCCTGAATTGGTATTCTCTTCAATAAACTTAAATAACCCATAATTATTCAGTAGACAAGTAAATTCTATAAATTGCCCTTAAAAGTTCAGAGAATGCCTCTACTATGTAGCACTAGCACTTCATCCCAAATGGGTTCAAGAGGTAGCTCTCATGACATTGAACTTCATACTGCACGGCACCTAGTTTGCAACTTCTGATTGATGTATTATTTTGATACCATTTATATTGTCTAAACTCTCATTTATCCTGATATTTTTCGCTTTATCCTAGTAGGCCTCATAGTTTGTCCTCTTGAACTTTATACTACTTCTCAATAAGATAATCCATCCTAAGAGAGCTCAATATTAGAATGTTTTTGGAATTCCTAACATAGTTATATCACTAACACCAAAAGGCACCTTAATATTTAGCAATTATAATTCACTCTTATAAATGTTACCTAAAATGACCTTAAATCGCTAAATTAACAAACTAAACAATAATAAATGGTACATGGAGCTTTATGAAGTAATTGTATGAAATTGCAGTTTGAGATTGAATTGCACTAAGCATGTTGATTTCATTCTAAAGGCCATGAATTGAATGGCACTGTACAAATCTAGCAGGGTGAGGTGATGTACTGAATGGTCCCCATTTAAATGAGTTGTGTATGGATTTCATATTTTAAAAGTTGCTGAACTTAAATCAAAATCGTTGAAATAATAAAGCTGCCTGTAAAGCTGCTTCATGCGTTGCAGCCCTCTGATTAAAGATGTCCAGAATGAGTGAAGTACGATCACAAACACGAATATCTCCACCAAAAGCTTTTTCCAAATTTCGCAATTGCCTGAAATAAAGTGCTTGAGAAATGTTACCCACAGAAAAATCGATAACACTAAACATATGTTAAAACTTTCTAAGCACTCCCACGAACAGACCCAAAAAGCATAGTTCAATATGAAATCCTCAAATAGAATGTCTGAAGGGCAAGAAATATACCAGCATGATACACAGTTCATGGCACACTAATACAAGAACGACTACATTAACATAAAATACTAGCACTTGTAAGAATATACATGAACTAAAAGAATAACATCAAAATGTTGTAATAGTTCACCTACAGATATTACTTCTTTTTTAGATAACCTGAAGAATGGTTAAATTTTGCTGCCTGAACCATGCATATTCATATCAAATTCGGGATACTAGGGCAAGGGAAGGTCTTCATTGTTTCAAACATCAAACTGGTAAAGGAGCATCTGCTTTAAAGATTTGTCAAGAGGCATTTTAGATGTGATGTAGGTCCAAATCATAGGATTGCCTCAAAACAAGCTTCAGTAATTGGAATAAATGCATATCAGATAACCAGAACAATGGTTCAATTGTACTGAATGAATCATGCATATTCATCTCAAATTTAAGAGACTGGGGAAACAAATGTTTGACCAATTTCAGTGTTCCAAATATAGAACATAAAGAATATCTGTTTTACAGATTTGGACACAAATGGCATTTTAGATGTAAGTTCAAGTCATCTGCATGGGTTGGATCAAAATAAGTTGCAGTAATTGAAAGAGATGCATATACATGTATGTTGGAAAGGATATACCATTATATCTAGGGTACTTCGAAGAATGATCAATTTTTAAGTCGCCGAAGTTAACAAATTGTGTGCTCTGAAAATTCGCACTCCAGCCTTTCCACGCCTTCTTTTATTGACTGAGAGAGTTTTAACAAGTTTAGGTTCCGGAGCAAATTTTGAAAAGGCTGATTGAACTTTAGACAATACACTACCCAGAGATTTCATCCTCATTTTATAAGGACTTTATGATTTGAGTTCTGGTTTTCTATAGACGCAATCCCCTATAGTTAATTACTCCTCCCAATAATGAGAGAGAGCTTTCGATCATGAGATAGACATTGAGTACCCAGCATATAATAGCAACAATTTTAGGGATTTTAAAATTGGATTTTTGAGAATTTTTAAGATTTCAAATTCATCACCATACACTTAAAGCGAGTGATGGGGAAATGATGACTGGCCCAATCAAAATTCCATGATTTCATCATCCCGGGCTATCATGGTTCCTGGTCTACTACTTAGAACCTTGTTGGCAGCCATGAGTTGCTTCATCTAAGAATACATTGTAAACCTGGGGTGGATGTTTGTCTAAGGTGATGAATTGAAGTCAACCTTAGCTAACAGAGGGTTTTATATCTTGTTAAGTGTGCCCTATAATTCATTACTTAATTGGCTTTTAACTATTAGGGAACATACGAGCTTTGGCAGTGACCGTAATATAGTGGTGTCATTTTACAGCAAAATCATCCGGTCAAAGGGCACGTGTTAAGTCCCTACTGGCTATGAATCAATAGAGAATAAATTGCAGTAATACACTTAGTAAGACATCTGCTCTTTGTGAGCTGAAATTATTTATTAATTCATAATCCTCGCCAAACCATTGCGGAGTGTGGACAAATTTTGGTTTTAAGTTTTTGGTGATAAGATCTTCATTTAAATGTTTAGAATTTGATTAAATTTTGAATTTTGATATTTTAATAGGTTTTGAGAATTGATCCCTTCGGTTGAGATTTATATTTAACGTGGCTATCATCAGGGTGACTTTATTGTCACTTTAAATACATTTGTATTTTGCATTGGGGTTCATAGGTATTTTAAAAATAGGTTCCCTTAGATGAGATTTTATATCAACACGGCTATCATCGGGAATTTAAATAATTAGTTATTTGAATCTTGTCAATTATGTTCGCCCACTAACAGAGGATCATATTCAATAATTGATGATTATGCGAATGCTAAAATCGAGAACTTATGTTTTTATGATGAATTTCATCTAGAGAGCCTTTGAAGGCCTAATGTAGAATTCAAATTAAATATCCCAGTAGATTTGTGATTAGGCATTTTTTTATTAATCCAAGTCATGTGAACTCTGACCATTTTAAGGAGGAGGATTAAACTTGAATATTTGACCCGCGCAGCATTCTCGAACCTTTGGATTTGGAAATCAAATGTGACGATCGGTGCACATGCAGAATGTGTTTTCAGCATATAGATTAGAGATATTATAAAAATATTGCCTTCTGTCTGCTTGTACAAGTAGGTTGCGGATCAGGTGGCTTAAAAGCGAGTTAGGTTTTAGATATCGTATATAGGAGATATATTGTTTAGTTCATGTTGCCTCGTATGAGCCATCATATCATCGAACATAGCTCGTAAGGAATTTTTTTGTTCAATAAACATTACGAGATTGTGCTCTTGCTTGTAAGTAAACTACATTGTTCACTATGAATCTCTTATTGTCGTCTATAAGCTACTTGTGTGCACTACAAATTTCAAGCTCCTACTCACAAGTGAATTGTAGTATTCATTCCACTCCCATGTTAACCAACGAGCAATCTACTGTGCATATTACAAATTATTTGCTTATAAACGAGCACTTATGTTCATTACAGGTCCCCCTTTCATCTTTTAAATCTCTGAGATTTTAATTAATTATAATTTTTATTTAAATTTAGATTTAAGTTCGGTTCTTTGTAAGTCTATCCAGTCCAAATTTCAACAGCTTCATGGCATCTCCTTGCAAAGAGAGGCTGGGACAGCACTAGTTGTTATTCTTCTCACATAGATCAAAGATACAACGGTGCGAGATCTTTAAATCAAATCTTTCCGCCCAAATTAAAAATACAACGGCACAGGGGCTTCAAATTAAATATTCTTACCCGAATCAAAGATACAACAGTGCATGTCTTCAAGTTAGCCACACCTGTTATGATTTATTTATTTATTATTATTATTATTATATTTTCTTTTATGATTTCTCGATAATTTAGTATCCTCCAGGCATCCCCTCCCTATAAACGGAGGTTAGGACGATAATTGTCATTATTCTTCTCGCCCGAATTAAAGATACAACAGCACGATGTCTTCAAATTAAACATTCCTATCCGAATCAAATAAATAATGGCTCAGGTCTTTAGATAAATATTCATGTCCGCAGGTATATATATATTGGATGGTCTGAGCGCAGCTTCGGAGGTGCTGGAAGCCTCGGCCAGTTACTGAGCCCTTCGGATTGATTTACCTTGTATTCTCTTAGTTTTTCTGTCATTTTGCTTCATTACTGCTTGTATTCCTTTTTTTTTTTTTTTAATATATTATCTTTAAAAAAAAAGGAGAATAATCAGGTGCTGATCAGACAATGAACTGCAGAGGTTGTAGTTTGCATAAGAGATAAGCAGTCTGCTTTATCACATTTGAAGTTCAAGCCTTGAATAGAAATGGTAAAAAAATTGCTAAAAGTTTAGATCATGTTTCAGGCAGATGCTAAATAGAATTAAGACTATCAGCCAACTTTTAGTATCAAAGTTATTTTTTAGCCAATACTTAAGCAAGGTCGGATCAGATCAAATGAGCATTAAAAGACAATGCACATGTGGATGCTTGTGCGTTTTTGTACATGGTTTCTACAAAAAATGTCAGTACATTGCATAGTAAAATGTCATTTTCTGCGTTTGGCTGCAATCTCTTTTATTAGCGACCTGGCAGCTCATCAAAGCCCATAATTTAAAATAATAAATGAACAAGCAATTAGCTAGGTTAGAATCTAAAGGTCATATGATCTATGCTTTACATGAACAACTTCCACGTTAGGTTTGTTTTTATTCCCACAAAACTAAAGTAGATTAGTTCATGGTGTCAGTTAGATGGAGGACAGAACCACCATCCACAAATGCCGATCAGGCAATGTATTTGGTCAAATTGAACTCTGTTCACTCTGACAGTACCATATAATTGTTAAGACATGGAGTAAATCGTGTAAACATCCAACTATAATAACATAAATATCAGAAAGGCTTGTTTGAACAATATACAACCATTTCAAAGTTGGTTGATGATGCCATATTCACAATTTGTACTGATCTTCAAAATAGTTAATATCAATTTCTAATAAAAAAACTTGGGTGCAGATAAAAAGATTAACTGCCAACCTACCATTCATTGAACTACCGATTCTGTAAATTACGAATGGGAATATTGAAAGAAGTTGAGCAAAAAAAATTGTCAAGACCCATCATTTTCCATGCTCTGCCATTTGAAAACTAGAAATATAACAATGGTTAATTTTCACAGCCAGAAGAGTTGCCTTCTACCAAAGCAAAAAAGAATATTAATGTGGCATTTCAAAAAATATATAACATTGGCAAATTTTGCTAGGATATTTATGTAACGTACGAGAGATCTTTATGCATTATCGCATAATACCGCAAAACAAAAAGATTAATACTATCTGCATGGTAATATAAATCAAGGAGCGAAGTAGGTATAGATAGACACCCACCCAGCAGACAACTCATCATCAAAAATTACTGTTTCTACATCAAGAGCATGAACTGCACTCTTTATTTCAGCAACCTTTCCAGATCCAATATATGTCTTAGGATTTGGAGCCGCAAGCCTAAATAAAGAGCGCAAGGTATCAGCAGAAAACATAGAGAAACAGAGTTATGATGCCCATTCAACATTCAAGTATCAGTTTATATATTAAATGAATAAGATAAATCATGATTGACATCCTAATGATAAGCATAGTTTACGATTTCCTTACAGTTTAAAATAATGATTGCATGAATGTTGTTTCTTTCTCTTTTGAGTTACTATGTTTTAGAACTGTAATTGACCCATTGTATTATATTAATAGCTCAGTATTGTATTTGATTAATAATTCAAAACAAGATCTTGGGACTGGAAGAGTGAGAGGAGAATCTATGTATTGTAAGCATGGAGCTTCAAGTATTAGGTAATTAAAATTTTTAGATGTTAAAATAAACATATTATATTTGTTGTTATTTGGAATAGGTTGAATTTTATGATTTAGTGGTTCTTTTAATATATTGGAGGTTATGCAAAAATATATGAATAATTTGTTTTTTGTATTAGCAAATAAAATTTTAAAACTCCATCCGCCAATCTATTCCCACCATGTTATTCCAAGCTCACACGCTAGGTCATGACAAAATCAACCCAACCCTAATGTAACATCACAAAGCCAACAAATTCGGACATACAAACTTCTACATTAATCAATTATATGGTTTTAATTATAATTTTCTTTAAGAAAAATTAAACTAAATATGCACCAAACAAATATTTAAAGTGGCATCCTGATTGAAAAAAAAAAGGAGCTCTAAAGTGTAATAATTTGGAAATTGGTTTGACTAGCAAAATAAAAGGTCAAAAAAATTAAATAAAAAATTAGCATATAGATCATCAACTTTGCAAGTATTGCAATAATGGGTAGATGAAGCTCCTGTTTTATCTTATGAAAATAGTTAAAGCCTTACTTTTCAAAGGAAAAAAGTAAAAAATAATAAATAGAGACCACCATGTAAATAATCACAAAGGTGTAAGTTGTACACCTAAAATAAGAATCAGCTTTAGGTAAAATGACGAGATAGGTAAAAAAAAAAAAGAAAGAATAGTGGCTCACTTCTGATGTGTCATACCAACGACCAAAAGACCTGCAGTGTCTGCTAATTGTGCAAGCTCCTTAAGAGATTCTTCAATTCCGAAATTATCAGCTTCGGTATCTTTAGATTCAACACTAACTAGGTATGCTTTTTCCTCAAACACCTGAAAGAACTAGCATCATGTTCAGTTATAGCATGAGATTTAGAACAAACACTTAACATAGCATTGCTAATACGGAACTTCGGCTACACAAAACAAAACAACTCAAAGATTTACTTAACTCTTTTGGTTAGTTTTGATGTAAACAACATAAGAATAAAGCAAAACATGTTGTTGGATACAGAAGAAGAACACAGGCTTATACAACGGAATTCCTGATAAGTTTCACTTATTAGAATCATATGATGCTTCTTATAATGAACTCACCGAAAATGATTGGGATGGATTTTTTGTATTTTAGCATGGGAAAAAGAATGGGAAGAATTCAGCAGACATAAAAAATCTAGTCAAGCCCGTTATGTTTCCATTCCCAAAGAAAAAAAATGAAGGCATTCCCTTCATTAATTTCACTGTAAATAATGGAGAGAATTCAATCCGTGAATGATCCACTGCATCAATAAGGCATTACAGCAAGATTATTGAACGAAGCATCTACAAAATAAGGCATTACAGCAAGATTATTGAACGAAGCATCTACAAAACCCCTGCTTCAAGTGATTATACCGGATTTTGTCTTATTTTCCACTTTCCTTCAAAAATGGTTTCCAAGCATGGTTGGGGCAAGAAAAAAAGGGTAAAATGAGGTTCCTAACGATGTGCTTTTCATGGTGTGCCACCCTTGCCAACGACTAACATGTGATATGCTATTACCGACGCATCATTGCCAACATTTCACGTATCTGCTACTATGCGTTGATCTCGTCTAAAATTGACAGGCAAGCATTTACAACTTTTAAAACAACCGGGAGCACTTCTCACTAATTCAAAATGAAAATGGAACGTTATTGCTAACTACCAGGAGAAGAGTATACTCTTCCAACTAGCAAAACCCGGAAATATCGTACAAGAAGATAAATTATTTCTTGAACTAGTTTATCTCCGAAAGTTAGTGAGGTAACGTCGGATGTTCTATTTTCCTGCCCTATAATAAGAATAATATCATCGCCCTTTTCCTACGTTATAAGATAAAAAAACAAAACAAATTCAGAAACAAGTAGGGATTCCCACCTCTCTGCCGTTGTTCATCTTAAATCTATCGTAGTTGTTGACATCTAAATCAACGGCTTTCCTCTTTTTCCTCCCAAAAAACTCTCCATGAGAATGTAAACCCTCCATAATCTCTTCCTCCTCCTTCCCCTCCAATTTCCTCTCCAAATCTGGTAATCCGTTAACCTCCGCCATATCTGCAACATTATCGGTTTCGATTTCCACCTCCGTGGCATCTTTTAGGGTTCCGGCTCTCCAGGGCATCGCAAGATGACATATTCCACCCTTGGATAGCTTAATCCCAGTGAACGAGTGGAAGGAGTAGGGTTTCGCGGGTCGAGAAGGAATGGAAGGAACCGCCGTTGTTGGAGAAATCGCAGCAAGCAAGCGGCAAACTCCGATCATGATGGTGTTTCAAGCTTTTGAAAGAGTTTCTCCTAGTAATTTTTTCTTTGGCTCAGATTTCACCAACTCAGAAGATCTTGTAGGAGCAGAAGTAACGTCCTCGCAGCCTGCTTCGCCGAGCTGCTACAGTGACAGAAATTATTCTGTCTAAATTTTTAATATATATATATTTATAGTTCATGATCCAACTACGCCACTCATTTTTAAGAAAATAACTCTTAAAAAGTTCGCAAATTTAAAATTTTTAGTAGAATAAAACTTTTAATACTGTAAAAGAAAATTGAGAAACAGGTTGCATTTTTTGTGGAGATAATGGGGTATAGGTTTCAACTTATCCGTAAATTTGAAACTCCTAAATTTTATAATGTTCTCTCTTCATTGAGCTTAATTTTTTCAACAGAGAAATATGTCGTAGAAGCAACTACAACATAATAGTTTTCGCCTTAAAGGCATATCAAGTTCTCAAATATGACTGAATGCTTCAATGAGATTTTTTTTTTGAAAATGTATTCTTCAATTATTTATATGTCAAATATTGCAAAGAGACATGTTTATATATTTTGTATGTATTTTATATCTATTTTGTGTGCAAACATTTAGGAAGAGAAAGACTTGAAGTTGAAAAAATTGTAGCTTGAATTAATGATAGCTTTTTTATGTACACTTTGTATTGACATTGATTCATAATAAATAGCTTATAATGTTTTGTTTGATTAAAATTTTTTTGTAAAATAACATTTGTTTTATTGGTAATTTTTGTATTGATATTTTATTCTTACTGCATTCTCCATTCAACAATAAAATGTATTTGCTCACGATTGTTCTTTATAAGTTAAATTGAACTTGCACATTTGATATGCAACAAATACGTAACAAATACGCAGTTTGCATATTGTAAATATGCAGCAAATACGTGGTTGATACAATCTTTCATTGTTCAAGACCATCAATTTTTTATCTTTCATTATATATGTTTCTGCTTCTTGTCGCATTCATCAATAGAAATCGAAGTTTTAGCTCCTGTTCAAAATGGGCTATTTTTTTTTTAGTTGATGAAAATTTGAATTTTATTTTCGTGAGAAGAAGTTATATGATTCATGTAAAATTTTCTAAGAATTGGGATGTGATTGTAGGTAGAAAAAGATTAATTATATTGAAACTATGTAGTTGATTACTTGTCCTCTCTTTAAAACTAATCAATCAAAGAAGAAAATATATTTTAACTTATCCTCTCTTTAAAACTAATCAATCAACTACATATTAATTGTGTATTTACTGCGTATCAATTGTATATTTGTTACATATTTATTACGTATAAGTTGTGTATTTACTACGTATTTATCGGTTGGAATGAAATATGGATTATTTTGAATTTATGGAAACTTGATTAATTGCAGCTTTATATATTTCATAAAATTGCCCTCCACCTCATACAAGATTTATAACAAAAAAATCAAGTATATTCATCCAGAAAACCATATTGCTTATTTAATTTCTTCAAATTTATATTTTCTTTACTATTAGAAGAAATGAAGTCAACCTTTAGTTCTCAAATTCTTTTGTGATATCAATGTTGATTCAAGCTTGTATTTGGTATTAAATTACGTTTATTTTCTAGAATTTATGTTTATCTGTAAATCTAAATAAATTGTCAAGGTAACGTCACTATTTTTTTTTTTTTTTACTGCGTATTTACTATGTATCGATAGCGTATCAAATGTACACTCAGGAATGAACTTGTAAGGAATAATGATTTTGATAAATGTCAAGATAAATTTACTGCATATTAATTGTATATCGAGAGTGTATCGAATGTGCATTCAGAACTGAACTTCTAACGAATAATTTTTTTTTTATAAACTGTCAAGATAAATTTGTTGTGTATTTAATGTGTATCAATAGTGTATCGAATGTGCATTTACAATTAAACTTGTAAGGAATACATTTTTTTTGTTACTGTTAAGATAAATTTGTTGTGTATTTACTGTGTATCGAGAGTGTGTTGAATGTGCATTCACAACTAAACTTATAAGGATTTTTTTTTTTGATAAACTGTTAAGATAAATTTGTTGCTTGTTTGCTGTATTTTTGCTGTGTATTTAAGAATGCAGTATTATATTATTTGAATGAATCAAATACAAAGAGAAAAATAAATCGCGATCTGCAAAACACAAATGAACACAACAAATTTACGTGAAAAACCAAAATCTAGGGATTTTCCTCGCATAACTTCCAAAATTACTCTTACAACCAAAATTTCTTTAGGGGGTGTTGCCCTTGGAAACCCTCACAAGGGCTCTACCCCTTAACTCTGTGACCTGATTGGGAAGGTCAAACCCTGTCAGATGGCGCTGTTCTCTTGGACCCCCAACAAATATGTGAAGCGTATAGAAGAAAATTTATCATTCCTTCAGGCTGCAGTTTTTTTCAACTTCAAGTCTTCCTCTTCCTAGACATTTGCATACCGCCTTTCAGACTTCACATCCTGTGGGTATATCATCTGCTTGAAGAATACAACTTCCTCCTCTAAACCAGTCTTCATCTTCATCAACTTTTCCTCATTTTTTATTTCTCGGCAGGTATCAAAAGTGTATTGAGTTGAAATCCTAAATATTAAGAAGCTTTTGTGGGTATTTTCATTTAAAAAGAGAGTGTGGATTCTAAACCCTAAATTTGTACGGAAAACTTATGTGCCAGATCGGTAGGCCAGACAAAGAGATAAATAATATACAAAATTCATATTAAATATCCATGTGTCCAATACACATGTCACGATTTATTTGGAGTTCGGACGCAGAGCTATGTCCGGACTCCGCGTAGAATAATTTCTCGAAAATTGAAAAGATTTATTTAAAAAAATAAAATGTGCCACCACTAATAATCTAAAACAATAAAAAATTATGAATACACTAACATTAATAAGATGGTAGGAATAAGAGAACTTAACAATGTTATATGTATTACATTTAGTATCTACTTCATTTATGGCTTTCCTGCTTGAAAATTTGTGATAATAAGTAACAACATTTCAACACACATATAGACAAAAGAAAATAACTCAGTAGATACTAAAATATTTATGCTGACAACAAAAAAAAAACACTCAATGAGGTTTAGATGAAATCATCCACAGTGTAGATAGATTAAAAGTGCCTCTCTTCCTCTTAATTTGAGAAGACTTGTAAAATATATAATATAGAATTATATTTGCGTGAATGTGAGGGAGATTGTTGGAGTTGCATTCAAATGATGACGGGTCGGATGATGGTGAATGAATTTTGACAATCAGATGATGGTGAAAAGACGACAACGCACATGCAATGATTGTTAGATGACGGCAATCGGGGGATGACAATCAAACAACGACAATCAAGCAATGGAGATGGCAAAAGCTAGTGGTATTAATTTGCAGTTGGCAAGTCTATTGGTTAATCTGAAATATGGGATAGGAGAATTTAGTGGTAATTTAAATAGTAGTAAAAATAGGTGCATTACATATTTTTTTAGTGTTTGGTTTTGAGAAAACAAAATATAATGTAAAAGTTTGAGGCATTTTTTTAGAGGACTTTCAAATATCACAGGTTCCTCTCCTTTTGAGTCCCTCCTTCGCATTCATAGCCCTGCCCACACATCCAAATATCTTTAAAGTCTTGTTCTAGTTGTTGATCTAGTTCAAGCCAAGTTATCTTTATCTACTTCATATAATGTTGATTGTCCTATAAAAAGCTCGTATTTATGATCCAAGAATTTGTCTCGATCGGTGAGTAAATCTTATTAGTTAGCTCTACCTAGAGGCGTAAACTAGTCAAGCTAAGATGAAGTCACCCTAGCTTGAGCTTGATTGATTAATTGAGTTCGAGCTTAATTCTCCGAGTTCGAGCTTAATTCTCTGAGTTCGAGCCATTTTGTTTATAATGAAAGAAAAAAATATTATTGTGATTCAAATAATTATTAAAATAAAATTATAAAAAGAATGAGAAATTAAAAGATATATAATAAATAATCACTTGATATAAAAAATTAAGATATACTTCTTAAATATATTTAATAGTTTTATACTTGAACTCGTGAATTCTAATATATTTTAAGTGTATTTTATATTACTATTTTTAAACAAGTTGGCTCGTGAGCTAACTAATCGAGTTGAGACTGGCTCAAGTTTGGCTTGTTAACTCATCAAGCTTACTCATGAACCATTTATCGAGCCAAGCTTAAGCAGGCTTGACTCACACACCCCTAACCCTAACAACTAATATTTATAAAGTAGACCTTAATTAGCAATTATTCAGTGAAGGATTACATGTTGATCAACTATTTGGCTAGTATATAGTTATATATATAACTAATTCTAAATGCACAAACACTAACCTCAATCTATAAATAGGAAGTCAAGGGGCAAGCTCAATTTATATAATTTTGCATGCATATCATTTTGCAATGAAGCACATTTTATAGAAAAATTTGATTATATCACTATAATTTTCTCTCTATTGTATTATTCTATTTTTCATTCAACATTCTCAGTATTAGAAGAGGAGTATTGCATGAAAAAGTTTAACATCCTAAAAGGTGTGATGAATGTGGAGCACGCCAATAACTAGAAGATGAGTATTACATAAAGCCGAACAATATCCCAACATAAGAGATGAATCCTTTAACTTGAAGAATAAGGAGTGTGTAGCTATTTACAAACTTGCTAAATTCGATAAGAGGATCACTTGAATGATTCAAGGACCATTGAAAAGAATACTAAGAACCACCCATAGAGTGGAACGAACTAAAGGATCATTTAATTATGTTGTAAAGAGAAGAAGACATTTTAGATGTAAAGGCTTGACCACTACTCTAATCATCGATGAAAATGTATTACCTTGAAAGTGAGGTGTTAACTTCAACTCTGTCAAGAAGAGAAGAGAATCGATAAGTGGATGCCACCGCTTTGTTACTTCTTCTCAAGGGAGATTGCTGAGGCCAAGCCTCCAACAAAATTCAAAATCTCTCATATGGATTGATATAAATGAAGGATGGAGCTCTAATGTTTCACTTATTGATACTAAAATGCAATGAAATGTAGATTATTCTAGAATTCACCTTTAAGATGGTTCTTGCATTTGCCACTCAACA